AAAACGCCGCTTGTATTATTATTTGGTGTATTTATTTATCTCCTTACTCATCAAGTCCAATCGCCACGTCTCGGTCAAAAAGCGCATTTGATATAACATATCACTCTGTCTTCTTACTCTTTCGGCAAGCGATCGCTTGGCGCTTTGTATGGAGGTGCGTTAGTGTGGGCCCTCTCACATTATCAATGAAGAGGCGCTGCATACACGGAAACGAAGAGGCGCGTTTGTTGGCATAGATCTCGAGGTTGTGAAAACAACTGCTCATGCAGCGCTCATACGTCTCCCAAGAATCTCGGGCGAATTAAACGACGGAGCCCTTGGTTATTTATAATATAGAGTCGGTAAGTTACTTTTTACCGATCCCCATTGACATTCACCGCCTCAACCTTCTTCTTCCTCTCGTGAACCCTACTCCTCCGAAAATCACCACCAATCCCTCCTCCACCGCATCCACCCTCTTAACAAGGGCAGATTAATGGCAAAGAGAAACGCCCAAAAGAAAGGCGGAGTCATGGCGAAGGAGTGGTGGAAGTCAAGGAGCAATGAGCAGACCATCGAAGACCTCGTCGCCATGGGAGTGCTCCACAACAAGGCACTCGCGGGATGGCGTGCGCCGGAAGGAGAAAGCTTCCCCGATCCACAACCAGGTGAGATTGTGGTTTTCAAGGATTTCTTCAAGCGGGGTTTTGGGGTTCCAGTGCACCCTTTTCTTCAAGGGCTCTGCTTATATTACGAGATTGGGATTTGCAATCTACATCCCAACTCAATTCTTCTTGTCTCCACCTTCATCCATCTTTGCGAAGCTTATGGTGGCTTCCAGCCCCATTTTGACCTCTTTCGCCATCTGTTCTGTCTGCGGAAGAAAGGGAGCGGAGGCTCGAAGATAGCCGGAGGCATATACCTCAATCTGCGTGACTGTATGAAGGCCCAGTACCTGCACTACCCATGGAACACCTCACTGGATGAATGGTACAAGAAATGGTTCTACATCTGTGAAGAGCCGAACACGATCACCCTGTGTGACGTGGGGTTGATTCCGGAGAAGAAGAACAGCTGGTCGGAGAAGCCCGAGCACTTGGAGTAGATCACAGAACTGCTCGGGTTGATTCCGTGGGGAAAGCTGGATGGTCCAAGCGTGGTTGGGAACTTCATCAGCCGAAGGATCCAACCATGCCAAAAGAGGGTACATCCTGGCTTCGAGTACCAGGGTAGCGCAGATCCGACGAGGACCAGAAAAGAGGCGCTCGACAAGATAGAAATCAAGGCCAGAATTGGGGAGCTATTCAATCTAGCCGACCCCAATTATGTCAGGTTAAACGACATCGAGCACGCCTTCAAGCTGGCCCGACCTCCCCCAAAGGTAAATGATGCCTCCTTGTACCTGTAGATTTATGTTGCAACAAAAAATTGACTGTTGTCTCCTTTATGTTTCCCAGAGTAATGGTCATGACCGAGCAGCAGTATTCGTGTCTCCGCCCCCTGGCGTGGATTGGCCGCAAATTGCCGGCTCAACCGCCCAGACCAGTGCCAGTACCGAAGACGTCGACTGGGCGGTACTCGGAGTTGGGGAGGATGTAACGGCCAAGGCTGCTAGCAAGCGGCCAGCTGCCAACAAACGTCGCCAGGCCATCTTCCCCCTTTCAGACGATGAAACAGAGGATGCGGACATCTTCCGACTCATCCCTCGAAAGAGGAGGAGACAAATGGGGTCAACAGAGCAGGGTAGCTCCTCTGTGCCAGCAGTGATCGCACCACCGACCACTGCAACACAGAAGACAAGCGGGGGAAGTGTCGAGCACCAAACCCCGACGCCAGTACCGGTGGTGGAAAAAGACCCGGTGGAACCCGCCGAGCACGTGGAGCAGGCGCGGTCGAAGAGACGTTCCTTCGCCATGTTATTCCATGCTTCCGAGCTGTAAGTATCTGTAACTTTGATATAATCTTATAATTTGTATTGAATACTATTGTCTTCTGAACTTTCTCTAGTATATTAGGTCGGCGTCCACCGAAAATCCCGACCAGATAGCCGGTTGTGGCACGGCTTCGCCAGTACTGGCGGAAAGAACTGCTCGGCAGCTAACTGCGGAGGAACCTGTAGAAGAAATTCTGCCGGAACCTCAGCACACGAGCAGCCCGACGTCAGTCCCCGAGCAGCTGGTCGAGAAGACAGCCGAGCAAAGTACAAATGCTCCAAGCACTAGCCCTGCTGAGGCGGATACCTTGGCGCCAAGGGAACCAGACCGAGCCGAGGAGCAGCAACCGGAGTTGGCACAGAATACGCTTGCCGATGCTACGGCTCATGGGAAAGTCATAGTGGTCGCGGAGACTACTATCTCCGGCCCAGCGCCGCCCCCTGAACAAGAGGCCAAAGAGGACGAAATCGAAGAGACCCTAGGCCGTCCCAAAGACAAACGACAACATGTATATGTGTCGCGTAGGCGGAACGACGAGTGGGTTATGTATGAAGAAATCCCCGAGATCGAAGAGACCCAAAAAGTTGAACGAGCGGCAAAGCGTTTGGTGACAGAAGTTCAGGTATGTTTGGCTTGACCACTTGACCCTGTAATTTAGTCAAACTGTCTGACTTAGCTTGCTTATATGTAGGACTTGATGAAGACCACAAAGTACCGAAAGAGGTGCTTCGACCAGATTGAGGGAATCACGGCGAGCAATAGAGAACTGGCGGCCGAGGTTAGGAATAGTATGCATAGTAGTCATGTTATTATCTAAAAGCCGTTGTCGCGCGCGGGCGCCCCCAGCCTTGGGCCGTGCTGGGCCACCGCGACGCGCGCACAGCCGGGCCTGAGGGGGTTGCTGGCAGCCCATTTCTTTTTCTAATGCTTTTTTAATTTAGTTTCTAAGGTAAACTTGTAAATTCAGTATAAAATTGTGTAGTTAACCGAAGATTGTGAAACCAATTTTGTTCGGTTCCTAAAATCATGATCTATCTGCTAGTATATTTTGTTCACATAGTTTTATAATATTTTCATGAGTTATCTAATTAATTTGAGATGCTTAATATTATAAGATATAAATTTGTAGGAATTGTTGTGATAAATTGGTGACAGTGTTGGCTCTGAACTTTCACAGTAAATTCCTAACATTATTAGGTGCTCACTGCAATTTTTGTAGCTCCATAATAATTAGTTTGTTAGGGTAGCTAAATGAGCCCTAGTTCAAAAATACATGTTTAATCAATAAAATGTCAAAACACCTTGGGATTTTAGAACTAAAACATTTTTCTAGAGGTGAAGCCTTAGTTGACGATGTGGATACATAGACTAGTACGTTAGGTATTAAAGCTAGCTCGTTAGCTTGCGGAGCGTAATCGTATTTCTAAGAGTTTCGGTTGCCATTGATTATTTATGTCTCTGTGTTGCATCCACGTATATCATAATAGGAACAACGATGGATCGTGGAGATAATCGGAGTAGCAGAAAAGATGGTGTCTTGATGATCGTGTCACTATGATGGAATGCTAACTTTTGGTTATATCTTACCCAGACAAGCCCTCGGTGCATAACCCCTATTATTCTGCACTTTATTTTATGCTTATGCATTAAGTTTTAAGGAGTTGAATGAAAACCCACTTGCATATATATATCCTTATCATATGAGTCCTACTAGTATGTCAGGAATGTGTAGATTGTTATGCTATAGGATTCGATAGAAGTCGAGTGATTACCTATCACTCGTGAGAGATAGGAAAGATATTATTGTTGTTATTATATTACTATCTCATGGAATATATATGGATGATAATTGGAGACCAGGCGGAATGGTACTTTGGATCTAGACTTGGTTAGGCATTCAAACGAGGCTCGAATTGCACGTGTTCCGCCTGTGTCGATTGAGGACCGTCCGTTGTTTGTGGATGTTAGTTAGGTCACACACTTATTATCCTGAGCACATACATGCTTATGAGAGCGGAAAGACTCGTTATGCTCTTGTCGCGGGTTTCGGCTCTTCCCGAACCGACTGATTGGAGGCGGGGAAAGGTGGAGGTCTAAGCTCCATACTGAGACTGGGTCTCAAGTGTGGGGGCTTGGAGTCCAAGTTTGGACGTGGAACTAGACCCCATGACAGGAGTGGAATGGGTTGGTCTTGTTTGTGCATGGGGTACAAACCAGACGTGTGTTTCGAGGTACCCAGCTGGAGATATATTGGTTCACGAATCACCATTTCTGTGAGACGGTACGACTTGGCTATATAGCACCGTAGTAAGAACTAGAATATGAAAGATAGTAAAATGGTTCTAATTGCTCACCACCTGCTTGAAAGTAGCATATGTGCTGACATAGAATGGTTAGTTAATAAACTAATGATGACTACTAATAAAATTGAATATAAGGATACACGTTTAATAATGCTTCCTACATATGCTATAACCCACAAGCCAGATGACCTTGCATATCCTTGGAGTCTTTTCTTTTCCTCCTGTTGGGTAAGTCTTGCTGAGTACAATCGAGTACTCAGGGTTTTATTCCCCTTATTGCAGGTGATCGGAGGATACTTAGAGCTAACTCTTGTGTGTGGAAACCTCCTCCGGTGGGTTCAGAGATGATTCCTTTCACGCTACGACCGTAGTGTTTATTTATAACTCTCGCTAAAGGTTTTTATAAGAAAAGATGTAAAATCTGCTAGCAGCTCTTGTATATAAAATGTCCACTATGTTAATGCTCCACCATATCATTAAATTAATCTTGCTTCCTCTAAAACTTTAATAACATTGTTATATTCTGCTGTTATAATCAATTGAGGTAATATTCTACTATTGTAATAAAGTGATGTAAGAAATGACTTAAGAATGTTGTAAGCTTTATTCTCTTATTTATGATCCTGATAGAAAAATGTGGATTTTCGAGTTCTCCCTTGGGGCATGCTCGACGAAATTGCATAGTTTACTGTCCTCTCTTGAGTACTTAGTGTCTAATGAAAGACAAGTACTCCTGGGAGGCATTAGATTAGGCGGTTCTACCACAAAGAGCAAGGCTGGCAATATGTATTACACTTTCCCCAACAATTTTTTGGTAATTTGTCTTGCTTTTCCTTTGATGTTGGGTTCCATGTTCGTCCAGCTACAAATAGTGTTAAGTGAGTTGGGGTTTTGATTGTCAATTGCAGAACGATGACACTTGTGGGAACTACTGGTTTGAGGATCAATACCTGGCCTATCTGCGCGCCAATCATCCAGACAAGCTCAGGGATGTGGAAGTGGAAGGTGTACAGGGCTCTTTTGTTGCTCCTGCGGTTCATGGCATAGAACAGAAGAGTGACACAAAGATTGGGATGATGAACTTGAAGGTTCTGATCAGTGACTTGAAGGTTGACATTTTGAAGTTGAAGCAGGAGATCAAAGAATTGAAGAATGGAGGATTGAACAAGGCTTTTAGCTTAGGCAATGTATAAGTTGTTGTGGTGATGCTAAATATGTTTGTAAGCCTCTTAGTTGCAGCAGTTTGGAAATGAAGTAGTATGCACCTTGGTTCCAGTAGTTTGGAGTTCAGTGATCTTAGCCTGTAGGTTGTCAAGTGCTACTACTAATTTATATTTATTTCTGTTTGTGCAACTGTGTATTAGTGATCAAGGAATGCATGTTTCTGTAGGTTTTGTGAATCTGTGAATTTGTGATGAATCTGTCAATGTGTGCAACACAACTTCTTTTTCTTATAATTATGATCAATCTGTGAATTTGTGATGAATAAATAGATGTTTCTGTTTGGAGCAGCAACTGTCCATGCATGCCATAAATAAATGAGGCCATAATTTACATGCTTATATGACACAAGGTGGCTCAAATTTATTATAAAACATCCAGTCATAACCAGAACACACAAATAGGTTCAGATCCTACCATTCATCAAGTTTAGGTCATTACTAAACAGAAATAGGGGGTGGCCATAATAAACATTCAGTGCTAACCATAACAGACATCGAGTTTAGGCCCTAGCATACATCAAGTTCAGGGCGTACCATGCATCAAGTTCATGGCCTACAATACATGATGTTCAGACCACAAAATAAACTAATTTCATGCTTGTGATCACAACATATCACATGGTGTTTAAGAAGTCCTTCAGGCTTCTCACAACACTAGCTGCTAGAGCAGCATCTTTCTTTTGCTGCTTCTTTTTCTTAGGTGTCTTCTTCTTAGGTGTTTTCTTCTTCTTGGGTGCACCCTTCTTCTTAGGTGTTGTCTTCTTCTTCATTTGTGAAGGTCTAGCACTGTCATCATTTTCTAGTTATTGCTTTTTCCTACAGATGCACACTATGATTAGCAAAAACTAGGGAATGTCACAAGAATTGAAAAGAGACATACAAATCATTTTACCTTTTTTCCTTTGAATTCAGTCCAACTTCACCATCTTCTCATAGCTCTAGTTGTTTGCAAGTCTTAGAGAAGTGCCCAAAATCTTCACACCTTTTACACCTAACCTTCTTCTTAGTAGCATTTTTCTCAAGGCAACCTCTAATTCTCACCACTCTCGGCCTACCTGCAGCTCTACCTAGCAAAGGAGGGAAAACTTTGAAGCCTAGGTCAACCTGTGGCCACTATGACCTATCTAGCAATGGCTCAACTCTAGAAGCATATGCAACCCTGAATCTCTGAATAGAGTAGTACTCATGCACAAAATCTACTATTTTAATTCCTCTGTTGAAAGAATCCATGCCAGGCATGTTTGCATGGTTTTTCCTGTGATTTGTCACTCCCTACATGAACAAGAGTGACCTTGCAGGTCAACTATGTGCCTCTTGTGGTTGTTCTAGTCATCTATAAGTGTTACTTCAGTTATGCCTTCATCACTTCTTGCAACCATCACAACTTTGAGGTTTTTGCTTATAGTGTTCAGGTCTTTGATGACATTGGGCAGTATACCATCCTGCATATCCTTACCAATCTACCTTCTTAAGTACCTCTTTTCCATTATGAGTTCCCTAATCCCATCTACTAGCTCATGCAACAAAAGTCCTTTCAACTTCTTTATCTGAGCATTGAAACTCTTAGAAACATTATTGGTTAAATAGTCACATTTACTTAGCTCTGAAAATCCACACCTGTACCATATCAACTTATGATGTTGCTGAAGGAAGTCAATGGCATCTAGGGAAAAATCTGCTATCTTCTGCATGTGCCACCTGAACAGCCCTTCTGTGTAACTCCTTGCAACAGGGTACAGGTGGTCAGTAAACACATCTCCTTGATAATGCTTCATAACGTTGTTGTACATGTGCCTCATACACTCTCTGTACTCCACTTCAGGGAACACTACATCCACAACCTTCTCAAGTCCTTTACAAGCATCAGTACATATGACTAAACCTGTAGGTGATCCCACTGCTCTATGCAACTGCTACATGAACCACTTCCAATTGTCTTATGTTTCAGAATCAAAAACACCATATGCCATATGGTATAACCAGTTGTGCCCATCCACAGCAGTTGCTGATGCCAAATGCCCTGTATATCTGCCACGCAATGCAGACGCATCTACACCTATAAATGGCCTACAACCAGCTAAGAAGCCATCAATACATGGCTTTAGGGCTATAAAAATCCTCTTGAAGCGCTTCTTCTTCCCTTCTAACTCTATCTCTACAATGCTTCCAAGGGAACTTATTTCTATCTATGCTTTCCAATTGAACAATAGCTGAAAACTTTCTGAGTACTTCCCATGAACCTGTTGTAGGGCAACCGTCAAACTTGACCATGCCTTGGACTATTTCAGTTTAATGCCATAGTCTCCTTCTAGCTTTTCCTTTGCATCCTAGGCTCCTTTATTTGGGTTCTTCTTGACCCAGTCCGCTAACCTATTTGCACACCAACCTTGACTGGTCATCTTTTCCTCCCTCAGCTTTGTAGTGGGACAATTATGTTCAGCAGGCAATGTTTTAATCTGCATAAGAAATTAAGATGAATATCATATGTATAACTGAATAAGTTACAAACAGTAAGAAAAGGACCACACCAACTTGTATTGTTTTCTTATAAAAAATCCTAGATGTATGAATTCTCCATGGGCACCCTTCGGCAGCACAGTGTGCAATGAATCTTGTCTTGTCAGTTTGCAACTTAGCTAACTCAAAACCTTTCTTGACAGCGTAATGTCTAATAGCTTTCCTGAATGTTACTATGTCAGGAAACAATTCTCCCTTGACAATCTTGGGATTTTCTGGATCATGGAGGACAATTATTTCCTGGGGATCTGCATCATCAATTTCTGCCTCAAGAGGAGCACCTCCATCAGCAACAACATGATCAGTATTATCAACAGATGCTTGGGCACTATTAGTGTTGGCTGGGTGTGCAGGTGGTACTGAAATGTAGATGTGCTCATCATCAACCCCGACATACTTCTCTTCATTGTTAAAGATGTCTGGCTCCCTATCAGGCTCTACGCTCGACTCACCAGCAGTACAAGGATTGGCATCAGTCGAAGCTTATGCATTTGGAATGGCAGCAGGAGAAGCATTTGCATTTAAACTGTCAATAGTTAAAGCATTTGCATTTGGAATGACAGCTGTAGAAGCATTTGCATTTGGAATGGCAGCAGTAGAAGCATTTGCATCAAGATTGAAATCAGTAGGGTTGACTGCTCCATCATCAAGTGGAATAACTATGGGGGATATGACCTCCGGTATCCATAGGACAAGACATGGGCCGCACCACCAGGGAAGGTCCAGCCCATAAGATCAAGGCCTACGGTGCTCGGCTCTGGTCGGCACGCACCGCAAGGCAATCAGAAGAATCTTGAAGATAGAGAAGGATCTGTTCGGATATGATAGATGTCATATTCCTTGTAAATACTTACCATATAGCTGAATAAATGTAGATCTAACCGACCTGTAACCCTACCCCTAGGACTATATAAGGCAGGCAGGGATCTCCCTCGAAATCATCTCATATTCAATACATTCCAACAAAGACACAAGACGTAGGGTATTACGTCGATTAGACGGCCCGAACCTGTCAAAATCACCGTCTCTACGCCTTGTGTCACCATCTAGTTCCTGATCACGCGCACCTCTACCAAACAATCTACCATCGTGGGTACCCCCTCGGTGGGCTGCCGAGCATCTTTTGTCGACGGTTGGCGTGTCAGGTAGGGGTATGCATGCTAATCCATGGCGAACGAGATGGATCTCAAAATCAATGTCAACATCACCTGTGCCGACCCGACATCATGGCGCAACTTGTTGTGAATTCACGGCAGTAAGTTTTGATACGTGAAGTCAAGCGACAGATCCTGTTCGACGCACACGGCTCTGCGTCCTCTAGCAACCCGATTAATCAGGCTTGGCATCGGCGGCAAAATCTGGTAGATTTTCCTTGTCGGTCTACGTCCAGTTCGATGCGTCATCTACCGTGGCTCTAGGCTGTGGAGTTTGGAGTACTCGGTGGCACCACACGTGCATCAGCTGACAAGATCCTGAGGCAAATAATCAAGACGCATCTTACGTGGAGCAGCAATGCATGCATATACACGTATGTCATCCATGGGGAGACTCTCCATCAGCTGATCGGGCGACGCCTCCGCTTGACCCCAAACAAAGCTAAGTCAATCTTTAATTTTCAATCTACAATATTCTATGATATAATATGTATCTGGATATCTACATATACATATGATTATTTTAGGAATTCAACTGTGTTCATCATCACGGCTGCATGCACAAGTGGCTAGCAAGCCAGACACGACCACGACGATCCACAGTGCCATGCAAGCTAAAGATAGCCAAGGTCTTCGTCTGGCTCGCATATCTCCATGAGGCATGCAAGCTGAGGTGCCTCGTGGATGAAGATGCAACCGCCTCATCATGATCATAAACCACTTCATTGGTGGCATCATCAACGAGCCGATTTCGCCCACTAGAGTTTGACTACTCTGACTCTAACCAGAGAGAACTCCGAGAAGTCACCGCCTGAGCCATCCGAGCCGCTAAGCGAGCCACCCAGTGAGCCGCCTGAAAGCTCGAGGGTTGGGTAATTTCATCGACGCTGACCAGATAACGTCATACGCCGACGACCAAACATTATGTTTAAAGATAAGTACCTTTTGTATATCTACATTTAATACAACTCTCCTCGCCATGTTTCTCCAATTATTATTTCTCCAGTCATTCTCCACAACTAATTTCTCCATGTTTAAGATACTCCGATCGTTCTCCATGCACTCCATTTGTTCACCAACTCGCCTACCAGCCACGTTCTTATTTGTGTCACCCAGAGACGGCCTTGTCCTCGACTTCGCTCCTACACGTGCACGAGCCACGCTCTGTGTTATGGATAGTCAATAACGACTCCTTGACGACGCTCTTCCTCTTACGCGTACACAGTGCCAACCACTCCGCGCTATAGAGTTTGGGTTAGTTGGGCTGGTGATGCAATACAGAACCATCTGGAAAGGAAGTTACTCATATTTAAAATATGAACACTTCATACAAACATAATGTTTATCTATTCCGCTCTACTGCCTTCATTGCTGAGTTCATATATTTATTTTTATATCATGTACTACCATTCTATATATTTATTGCAGGATCATCGTCCGGGTGGTTGCACCACCTAGCCTTCGGACTTCTCCATCGATCAACTGGTCCGGACCACTAGGTTCATGGACTTCGTCGCCAACCAGTTGATCAGACTGTTCGGCGTTCACTTCTACTCAGCGCTCACTTCACCGCCGCCCAGTTGGTTGGGCTGCTTGGTGCTTGATTCTTCGCCAACCAACTGGTCGGATTGTCCGTCGCTTCATCACCAGCCACGTTGGGGACTCCTCGGCGTTTGGATTCTTCGTGCAAGCGTCGCCAGCCACACTAGGGACTCCTTGCGTTTGGATTCTTCGTGCAAACATCGCCAGCTAAGCTGGGACTCCCTTGGTGATCGAATCTTGCTACGTCTCATCAATGTGCTATCAATTTGCTCCATGCTATTTGGATCAAGGTGCTGATCTTGGGTAGCACGTCTGGGGTCTTGATACGCATATGACAGATGACATTGACAAGCTCTTAGGCTTATTTTCTTTGACTCTGCTACAAGATTTATTTCTTCATCTTCCAACAGGCTCGGGGACTAAGTGGCTACACTTCACCTAGCGGTGAATATAGTGCTCTTTTCTTGATTTACTCTCCTTATTGACTAAGTCATGGATGATTCCTCGCAAACGGAGTCTAAGTGGCTACACTTCGCCTAAAGTGGAGAATTTTCAAATTTTTATCTTGAGCCCCTTACATCCTTCTAGCAAGCCTTACTTGGCTAAGTCCGAGATCGATTAACTAGTTTAACTGGTCGGTTTTCGATTTTCACCGCCTAGATCACCAGTTTAATTGGTCGGCTATGACTTTCACCGCCCAGGTCACCAGTTTAACTGGTCGGCTTAGACTTTCACCGCCCAGGTCACCAGTTTAATTGGTCGGCTATGACTTTCACCGCCCAAGTCACCAGTTTAATTGGTTGGCTTCGACTTTCACCGCCCAGGTCGTCAGCAAAACTAATCGGCTTCATGTTAAACTGCTCGGACTTGATCAAGACGGCGTCGCCAAGCAGGAACAAGGCGCTCGGGGATTAGCTGTGGGGGATATGACCCCTGATATCCATTGGATAAGACATGGGCCACACCACCAAAGGAGGTCCAGCCTATAAGATCAAGACCTACTGTGCTCAGCTCTGGTCGGCGTGCACCGCAAGGCAATCAGAAGAATCTTGAAGATAGAGAAGGATCTATTCGGATATGATAGATGTCATATTCCTTGTAAATACTTATCATATAGCCGAATAGATCTAGATCTAACCGACCTGTAACCCTGTCCCTAGGACTATATAAGGCGGGCATGGATCCCCCTCGAAATCATCTCATATTAATACAATCCAACAAAGACACGAGCGTAGGGTATTACGTCGATCAGACGGTCCGGACTGTCTAAATCGCTGTCTCTGCGCCTTGTATCACCATCTAATTCCTGATCACGCTCACCTTTACCAAATAATCTACCATCGTGGGTACCCCCTCGGTGGACTGCCGAGCATCTTTTGTCGACAATAACACATAAAGGCTCTAACAACTCATACTCATGTGCATTAGAAAATAGCATTATCAAAGACTCCTACCAACACACGGCAACACATTTCAGACTTATACATGTCAAACAAATCTATCATCTGAATCTCACTATATAATCTGACATCTTCTTGCATATTTTTGTCAAAGAACCACAGAGATGCAGACTGGTTAGAGACCCATTTAACTTTATTCCTCAAGCTTTCCCTCAACAAGTCTAAAGAAAACGACCTTATCTCAACATCCCACTTAATCACAGAACCTTTGGTATAAACTTTCCTACCCAACGCATCTATTGTATTGAAACCTTTAACTTTAATCTCTAGCGAGAAGAGGCCGGTCCTAGCAGGAAGTAAGCAGATCGAGTCAACAAGTCCTACAACAAATTGCAGTTACAACTAGTCTATTTGTCGATGGAAAGTCATGTCAGATCAAAATCAGTAGGGCTTGACTGCTCCGTCATCAAGTGGAATAACACATAAAGGCTCTAACAACTCATACTCATGTGCATCAGAAATAGCATTATCAAAGACTCCTACTAACACACGGCAACACATTTCAGACCTATACATGTCAAACAAATCTATCATCTGAATCTCACTGTCTAATCTGACATCTTCTTGCACATTTTTGTCAAAGAACCACAGAGATGCAGACTCGTTAGAGGCCTATTTAACTTTATTATGCAAGCTTTCCCTCAACAAGTCTAAAGAAAATGACCCTATCTCAACATCCCACTTAATCACAGAACCTTTGGTGTAAACTTTCCTATCCAACGTATATGTTGTATTGAAACTTTCAACTTTAATCTCTAGCAAAAGAGGTCGGTCCTAGCAGAAAGTAAGCATATCAAGTCAACGGGTCCTACAACAAATTACAGTAACAACTAGCCTATTTATCGATGGAAAGTCATGTTAGATCGAAATGGTTTCAGATGAGTACCTCGGTATGCTGTCGTCCATTGCCGTAGCACGGTTACCATGCGCCTCGTCCTCCATGGAGGACACGACTGCCATAATACTCAAGCATTCACCATGATCTTCAATCGACTAGCATCGATAGTAGTCGCCGTCGCCGCCAGTCGCAGTTGCCGCCGCTACCCACGAGCTAGGGTTCGAGCGAGAGAGAGAGAGGAGGCGGTGGGGAATGGATGAATTGACTCGATCCAATCAAACGGACGCATGTATGGAGAAGCTAGGGACAAAAGGATCCATACGAATATATGTACTAGCTGTATACACCTGCATATGGGCTACATGTCACGGTAAATGTATATAATAGCATTTTTTAGACTCTAGTGAAATTATAATGGCATGTTTACGTAACCCTAATAGTAATGGTATTGGTTAGAATTGCGAGAATCGTAATGGCACCGTCCAGCTCCAATGAACCCAAAAGTAAAACCTAGCGAAAAGGCCAGCGGCGGCCAAAAGCGATTTTTTTTTTCTCTCGCTCGCTGAATTCACTCGCAGGCCAGCGGCGGCGGCCTCCTCTCTCATAAACCCTAAACCACCCCATTCCCCACTCAATCTCGCCATGGAAGCGGACGAGGCCTCGGCGCCGCCTCCCCCGCCGTGGGCGCAGAACAAGTCGGCCGCGGCCATCGAGGCCTCGTCGGGCCCGCTCGCCGCCGCGGCCTCCCGCCTCTCCGCCCGCTCCCGTGCGCTCCCCTCGTCCCGCGACTTCCACTTCTACAACAACTTCCCGGCATTCAAATCCCCCGTCGGCGCCGCGGCCGCCAAGGCCGACGCCTCCCTCGGCGTGCTCGGCGTGGCCCCGCTTCTCCCGACGCGGCAGCAGCAGCCGTTCCCCGGGGGCGGCGACCTCGACGACGCGCACGACTGGCTCGTCGCCCTCAACGACGACCTGCTCGAGCGGTTCGGCGCCTCCACGGATGACTTCAAGGCGCTGCGGGAGAAGGAGGAGGCCTCCGGGCGGAGGGCGGCGCCTGATGCTGGGGACGGGGACGGGTTCCAAGTGGTGTGCGGGAAGAAGAAAAAGAAGGTGGGCGATGTGGGTGAGGAACGCGTTGGAAGAGTTGGGGCGTTTGGGGGTTCTGGCTCTGTGAAGATGGTCACCAAGGACAAGGCGACCGCGCCGGGGGTGAAGGCGAAGGTGCCCTTCCACATCCGAACCATCCCAAGGCCGCAGGATGTGCACCGCATTGTGGTGGACAACTCCAGCAAGCCGTTCGAGCATGTCTTGCTTGAGCGCAGCGAGGATGACCCTCGTTTCGTGCACCCATTGGTTAGTGTTTCACTGCACAATTTTTGTTAATCTCACATCAAAGCAATGCGACTTTCTTAATATCTGATTCTCACCCACTGAGTCACAGAAATAATCTTTGGGAATACTGTTTCTATTTTGTGTTTGATATAACTAATTTAAAGACAGATTAAAGATGTAGAGAAGCACTTTTCTGTTTGGTAGCGTGTACATAGGATCAATGGGTTTTACATGTGTCTGGTGATGGATCATGTGAAAATGTGTATCATCCATATAGTTGAGAATCAATGCAACATTATCACGAATCGATTGTGCTTTGTTTTTATGGAAATACAATGGATTTCAAAATAGTGCGTGTTTGGGTGTGTGTATGTGTGTGGGGTGGGGGGGATCATTCAATCCATTCCTGGCGACTTGATAGGATTCAAAATCCATGCATGCAGAAAATCTCCTCACCATGGCATCACAATTTTAGCATCAGCATTAGAGAAGTATATGCTGTTGTCCATGTTCTGCATTTGTATATCAAATGTACAAAACAATTTATTTGCATGCATGTCCTGTGTTTGCAGGAAAAACTCCCTGTTGAACAACTAATCAGCAGAAATGTTCTTGATAGTGAGCCAGTAAAGCCACCTGCTTTAGATGACACTCCTTTTACATTTGTTGAAGACCTGAAAACCTTGGAGGTGCTAGCCACAAAGCTGAAGGATGCAACTGAGTTTGCTGTAAGTGTGCTTCTTCCTTGTTGATGCCTCAAATAGATCAGTGATTGTGACAACTGCATGTCACACAGTTAACTTAGATATATAGATATAAATGTCATCATGCTTTGTGTCAAGTATCAACTGAGATTAGGAATTTGAAGGTAGCATTGTGTGTCATCATACTTGTAAATTCTGGCTGTTGAACATTAATTTCTGTACTGGTGCTATCATGTGCATTGAGAATTTCTGTTTTGTAAGTGTACATTGAGAATTAAGGGTCAGTCTGCACCAATGCACTAACAACCTAATGTCGGTGGATGAACGCCAGTGGCGAAGCTTCACACAAATGTTAAGAGGGGGCCACTAGTGCTAAAAGAGCTAGCTTAGCAGTGTTCAAGCATGATTAAATACAGAACTAAAAAAGGAATATGGAAAATTACCGGGGGGGGGGGGGGGGGGGGGGGGGGCATGGCCCTTTTGGCCTCAATGAAGCTCCCCCAGTGATGAACGCCAACAGATCAGCAAAAGCTAGCTTAGAGTTCAACGGAAGGGTTCAGATGATTAGAACTTGCTCTTAGGGATGCAAAGCACACAGGGAGTTAACCAGGTTCGGGCCCCCGATGAGGGTGATAACTTTATGTTCTGGGTAAGCTGGAGCCCTTTGCTACTCTACTGTTCAATGCTTCAATCCCTTACATGGGAGTGGAGGCGGCCTTTTATACCCTGAGCTCACCCTCCACACCAGCGCGCGCGCACACACACACGCCCTCATGGAGCCCCAGGGGGCCACACACCGTACTCTGGCTGAAACGCAGTGCTGCTTCTCACCGTCAGCCCAACTGCCCCCCACACCTCAGCATTGGCACCAGGAAAATGCGATGGGTTGGTGCGCCGTCAGACCCAGCGCACGCCCCTTGACGTGACTGGGGCGGCCAATGATGACGGCGTCTGCCCCCGCGCCGCGTGTGCCTCAGCCTTTCCATCTCATTTAATGCGCACAGCCCTGGGCATGGGGGTGCAGTCAGGGGTAATGCCAAAATGGCCGAGCACCTTCCCAACGCCCTGTGCAGGTGCGTCCCATTGCCGCCCAACAGCTGCTCGCCCGACTAGGCTCGGAACCTGCTTGGCTGGGACACAAGTGCCAAGCACTCCAGCTTCCTGCAGGTGACCAGGCGCTGAGGGCCTCGTCTGGTCTTCCTCGGTTTGACCACTACACTCCTGTTCATCGTCCGGGCCTTAGTGGGCCAGCCGCCGGTTAAGAGGCGGCCATCATGGCCCATCATGTGCCTGGCAGGATGCCCGATCCTGTGGGATTTCACACATATCAATTGTTGGATGGATGCAACAGATCAGCCATCAAATTCAAACTACTGTTCTTAATCATCAGTACTGTGGTGAATATGATGGATCCTAGTACAGTAATGTCATATCTGCTGCCAATTTAGGGCTTGGGCATTTTAATGTGCAGAAAGTGGTTAGATATATTGTTGTCCATTATCTTCTTTGCTTGTCTAGATTCCTTGGCAGTTTGTTAGTTCTACTGTCTTATCACTCAAAAATACTTTGGTTGAATTTCTCCATTTATTGATGCATCACATTTTCTAGAAGAGATTTCTACTCTATATGTTAAACATAATATTTGGAAATTACATGCACTCCTTTTTTCTCTATGTTGCTGTGGTAAAAGTTATTTCTTTGCGTGATTATGCATCTATGCACTGAGCACTGTTTATTAACTAAAATATTTTGACCCTGTCTCTGATCATTTCAGGTTGATTTGGAACACAACCATTATAGGACGTTTCAGGGTTTGACATGCTTGATGCAGATTTCAACAAGAACAGAGGACTTTATTGTTGACACTCTTAAGCTTCGTAAATATCTTGGTGATTATCTAGGAGAATTTTTCAGAGATCCAACCAAGAAAAAGGTGCAATATGCTCCCTTTCTATACATTTATGTTTTGTAATGTGTCTAAAACTGTAGTTTCTTATTGGTCTTATGACAAATAGGTAATGCATGGCGCAGGTCGTGATATTATATGGCTTCAGCGAGACTTCAGCATATATGTGTGCAACCTTTTTGACACAGGCCAGGTATGGTGCACACAGCACGATTGTGTCCATAGTTCATACATTTCGCTTCTGTTTCTTTTACTTTACATTTTTTTTGTCATACTTAGTCATCATCTTAATGTTTTGTTAACTGAAGCTTGATCTTTTCCTTCAACTTAAATAGGCTTCAAAGGTCTTACAGATGGACCGTAACAGCTTGGAGCATCTTTTGCACCATTTCTGTGGAGTAACTGCAAACAAAGAGTGCGTGATTCTGTTTACCTCCTTAATGCTTCTAGTTTACAGGTTCCATACTTCCATGTCATGGGAACTTTAAAGCAAGATATACATTTTCCTGCAGATACCAAGCTGCAGATTGGAGATTGAGGCCCCTTCCTTATGAAATGATCAAGTACTGTGCATTGATACTCTTTGATATGATGTATTTTTAATATTTCTTTTTATCATTTTCCGCCCCCACTCCAGAGAATAATTTCCACCAAGTGTATCTCATTGTGATTGCTGTGTGCAGATATGCTAGAGAGGATACACACTATCTGCTATATATATATGACCTGATGAGATTGAGACTAGTGAATGAGTCATCAGGTGAAAATGATCTTCTTTTAGAGGTAAATCTTTTTTTCATTAGTGCATTTTCCCTCTTCCCTGTCTATTGTCCAACTTTACCAGACTTGCTCAGTATTCTCTTCCTCTGGTGTTCTCCCCTAGATTAATGTAGAGCACTGGAGCAGCTAGCTCTGCAATCAATTGTCTATATTAGCAGGGTGGACATTTCTTTTATTTTTTCTATTTCATATGTAAATTACTAAATTTTACTGTTTATTAATCTGTGAGATAAGTGTAGTAGGCCCTATTGTATGAAAAAGATGGAGCATGTCTTATAATAAATTAAGATTCACGTCTTACTTACCTGAGTTGTTGCATCTTCGATGTGTGTTTTTATATCTTATTTACTGATTTGGACACTGAGCACATGCATTTTTTCTCATTCCACCCTTATTGCTTACAGATTCACTTTTTCTGCGTGTGTTACACAATGGTCATACATCATATGGGCAGGAGCAACTAAACTGATGTTTCTTTAATTACTGCAGGTTTGCAAGCGCAGCAATGAAATTTGCTTGCAACTATATGAGAAGGAGCAGCTGACTGATACATCATATCTACATATACATGGGTCTGTATTGTGCTTGCTTTAATGCAGCTTTATTCAATAGATTACAAAATCTGTTGAAGTTTTGTAATATTAGTGTATTCAATTGCAGGTTGAAAGAAAATGAGCTGAATGCAAGACAGCTGTCAGTTCTTTCTGTAAGTACATTATTCCTCCTTTTCAGGGCTTCATACTGGCGTTAACCAGGGTGCAACATTGCAAGTTTAAACAATTTACTTGTAATAGCAAAAAAAAAAAAAAAACATTCTATTACTCGTCATCTAATTTCTTTTCCTTTTCCCTTCCAGAGTCTATATCGATGGAGAGATGGCATTGCCCGTGCTGAGGATGAGAGCACTGGCTATATATTACCCAATAAGACTCTACTTGAGATAGGTTTATTACTAATCTCAACTTATTTAGTTGTATTGCTTTGCTTGCCTTGGCTAATAACTTTGCCCTTGGTTTTTGGATTTATAGCAAAGGAGATGCCTGTGACAAGTGGGAAGTTAAAAAGAATTGTTAAATCAAGAAATTTGTTTCTTGAGCGCCATCTCGGCCATGTTATTAACAATATAAGGGATGCCATAGCAGCTTCTGGTGCTTTTGAAAGTGTAGCGGATCAGCTGAAGAAGGGAAAGCTGGAAGAGGTTTGTTATCTGATTTTAATTTAACATCTCTTCCACTTTACTATGAGGTTTCTATTCAGTTTGCTGGATTTCATTTGAACTGCAAATATGGTTTTCTGCAGTTAACAGTGGCAGATGTGAAGAACAGCAGTGAGGACATTGAAATGATTCCTGCTGTTGATGTTGATAACATTGAAGATCCGAATGATAAATCTGCTGTAGTTTCTGCAGTGATTACAAATGTTGGTGCTGCTCCCTGTATGGGGACTATTACAAGCGAAGCTTCTTTGGGTAATATGCATTTAGAGGACGTTTTGCCTGAAACAAAGGACTCGGGTACTTCATCAGGGTTTACTGTGCCGGCAGATACGGAAAAACTGAGCAATGACCAGCAGCAAGTAAGAAAAATCATTTTACATATGTGCCTCTGTATTTCTAATCTTGTATTTAAACAGTTGAATTATCCAGGCAGCAAAGGCTATTGTTCAAGTATCAAAGAGGCCTACAGCTTTTGGAGCTCTGTTTGGAAAACCGGCTGCTGGACGAAGGCCAGATCTTTTCCTAGGGTTTTCAAATGTTCAGGTATTATCTGTTGTACATTTTTCTCTATCAGAACTGTTGATCTCAGTGGTGATGGTATTGAAACCTTGTATCTAGGAAGATGCACTTTCCATGAATTGAATTACTGCCTGGTTCTGAAATACTGCTGAAAAACATTAAGTGCATCGCTAGAGTTTTGACATGCGTATTTGCAACTCTTTGATGAGCATGCATCAGCACAACATAGTAGAACCTGGGATCGTTGAGTTCATTGATCAGTGATATGCTGGCTTTATTAACTTTGTTTTGCTGTTGTATTAAAGTTGGCATATCGTACAACTCTAGTAGCTTTCGATATGAAATGCTTGATGGCCACGGTTGTCCTGACTTGCGTTGTTTGTGTGACTTCAGGGTAAGACTAAGGTGGACAAGATAGCGTCTTCCGTGGTACTTCCTTTTCATCATTTCTCTGGTGGTGCAAAACCTTCATCAGCCATCCTTCCAGCAAAAGAATCTTTGCATTCTGAACCAGAAAGCATCCAACACAGTGATCCAGCTTGTCAGTTGGAAGAAGTGATACAGTTGGACATGGAAACAGACGAGCCACAACCACCAGAAAATGGCAACGAGGATGGACACTGTGAGACTGAAGACACTGAGATGTCAAAGTCCCCTTCAGATGACCCCTCTGGTACCGAGCAACGATTCCAAACACTCAACGAAGAAAGAAACGTTCAGCAGAATCAGAAGACACCTCAAGAATTCGAATTTAGTGTTCCGGTGGTGCCTTTTGATTATGCCGAAGCCAGAAAGAATTTCGTGTCTAGTGAGCCTAAAGCTGAGAGGAGAAAAGATGATGCGGTTGCAAGGGCTATAAATACGGACTCTGGAGATAAGCAGATAGCTTCAAAAAAGCCAGGTGGGGGAGAGAACGAGGGAAATTTCCAGCATCCACGAAGACGGCAGGCTTTTCCGCCTTCAGGCAATAGAAGTGCTACATATCACTAGTAAGTTGAGATGTATAACTAACGAAATTGGATTATTCCAAAATTATGGGTAAAAGAGTACCCTAAAAGGGTAGCACGCGTTGTATGTTCTATTTGTATTTGGACTGGGGATATCTCACGCAGACAAAACTTGTTATCTGGCCCTTCCATCATGGCTCATGAGAGAAACCGCCGAGACTGCTACTGCGCTGCGGTGTCCTGATGTGTTGCTAACATGAACATGCTAGGTGACTACGAGAACAGTGTTAGGTATTGCATTATTTTTTAATATGTTTGGAACATGAGAATGCCCTGGTATTTCAGTAGGATGTACATTTCACAATGTTTTCTGCACAATTATTGTCATGTTTTTGCTTTTGAACTCCAGGGTCCTGTTTTGGTACCACTCTACAATTTTGCCTTGTTTGTTTCGCTGAAATTTGGTTGCTGTTATGTTGATTTATAGTGAGAGGAAAACACCGTTCTTCACTAAAAAAGTACAGCTGAAAAACAGGGCCTCCTAAACTTCTTTCCAAACGTTCACCCTATTTCTGAACAGGATCCATTTGCTCTCCATCCTGGTTCATTCTTAGTACTCTAATTTGTGCTATCGCCAGGATCCATTTACTCTCCACGCCGGTTCATTCTTAGTACTCTGATTTGTGCTATCGCGGTGTGCAGAATTTGACCCACATGAATCATATAGCCACTCTTTTTGAAACAGAGGGAGCATGCTATGAGCCATGAATCATAGCATGAAAAAACTGGGGCACTCTAGGGATTTTCGACGCACCATGGTGATGTGCTAAGGTCTACCTAGCCCGTTTGATTCGAGGACAAACTGAGATAAGATGGTTCCGTTCTTCTCCCTCTATTTCAATAATAAGTCATTCTAATTTTATCGGAGAGTTAAATCATCTCAAGTTTGACCAATATTATAAAGAGAATTATAAAGATTTATGACTTCAAATAGATATGTTATTATAAAAATATATTTAATGAAGAATCTAATAATACTTATTTGATATTATAAATGTTATTGTTTTAATATATAAATTTGGTCAAACAAATCATTTATAATTTAGGATGGAGGGAGTAGTAGTTTTCTAGCATATAATTATACTATATCTGTATTTGGTTAAGAGGATGGAGTCATCTCTGTTTTGCGCAATGTTTAGTGGAGCCCCTCGCCTTACCTGACACAGTACTCTATAGCGGCAGCTGGCTGCTGCTGCCCTTCTCCGAAAGAAAACTAGCCGAAGGGAAACGTAGTCGAGCCGAGCCGAGTCAGCTGAGGGAGGTCAACCACCTTTCGCTTGACGCCAGCAGCGATCTCGATCTGCGGAGAACTGCAACAACCTGACAATCTCTCGAGTTCTTCATATCCTTTCTCCCAACGGCATCCATTCAGCCCTTGGGTGATCACTGATCAGGCATGGCCATGGGACTGGGAGGCCCCTCCTGGCCGAATTTGCAGCGCCTGGTGCGGCGGAAGCCGGCGACGGCGAGCGCCGCTGGCTGGGCCGAAGACGCCGACAGGGGAGGTGGCCAGCGCCTCGCCAGGACGCTATCTGTTCCCCACCTCACCGCCATCGGTACGACGCAGGGTTTGGACTTCAGTTTTAGCGGGCATGGAGGGTTGTTGTGCTTTCACTGAATCTACTACTCTCTCATATTTAGACAATGCAAGATGTGCCTCACTTGAATATACATACGTACATGATCCTCAGGTGTCGGTTCGACGATTGGCGTCGGCATCTATGTCCTGGTTGGAACCGTGGCTCGTGAGCACACCGGGCCAGGCCTGACGCTCTCCTTTCTGATAGCTGGCGTCGCCGCGGCGCAGTCAGCATTGTTCTATGCCGAGCTATCCTGCCGTTTCCCTTCGGCAGGGAGTGCCTATCACTACTCCTACATCTGCATTGGAGAGAGGTACATGGGCAAATGCACATTGGCATCGGTTTCTTGCTAGTTCCCCCTATCTGCCTTAGCCTTACTTGGTGCATGACCACTAGTATCCATCATAATTAAGGAGGAACCGTGGGTTCCTCGCTCACCTTAACCTTTTGCTCTTCTTCATGACAAACTCCGGCAAATTATGCCCAGTGTTGCTTGGCTGATTGGGTGGGCCTTGATCCTAGTACACCATCGGGGGATCGTCAGTGGCACGTGGCATGTCGCCAAACTTGGTAATGCTATCCATTAAGTTATCTCTTCGGAGAAGTGATCTTTTCATAACAATGTCATCAGTATCCTTTTTTCAGGCTCTATTTTTCGGTGGCCAAGATAAGTTGCCGTTCTTTCTAGCACAAGTGCATGTCAAAGGGCTTGACACCCCACTTGATCCATGTGCTGCTATTCTTGTCCTGATAGTTACTGCATTACTCTGTCTGGGAATTAAAGAGGTACTAGCACTGAGCCTACAACTTGTCTTGGATTCTACAATCTTTTCAGCTATGCAGTTACATGAACCTCTGTGGTGTGGATTCTACAATCTAGGTTTTTCTTTTGTGTGTTAGTGCCCTTTCTAGACACAAGCACATTTATTCATCAGATAAATACAGATAGTAAGATATGCCACGCTCTTTTGTGCTGTCATTTGTGCTCCAGTATAGATTAAAATGTTTCTCGTTCTATGAAATTATGACCACTTGTTCTGGGGTTCTAGAGTTGTGGCTACTTTCAACTTAAAATAATACACTAAAGTATGAGTTATGTCCTCATCAGAGCTCATCCGTGGAAGGCATCATCACCACTGCAAATATCATAGTGATGCTCTTTGTCATCTGTGCTGGTGGATGGCTAGGATTCAGGAATGACTGGATTGGTTATAAAGTGCCAGAAGGGTATAGTAAAATTTCTTGATTCATATAACCGAATCAATACATTGAACCCCCATTTGGATTTTGAAACTTATTTGGCTGGTACACAGTTATTTCGCTAATGGTGTCAGCGGAGTTCTCTCTGGATCAGCAACCCTCTTCTTCGCATTCATTGGCTTCGACACAGTTGCTAGTACGGCCGAGGAGGTTAGCTTACATTCATGTACAAAATGTAATTTGTGTTCCTGTAAATGCTGCTCCAGTTTGTGTGCAGTTGCATGATCGCCTTTAATTGGGTTTGTCAAAGTGATTTCCAGGTGAAGAATCCTCGGCGTGATCTTCCATTGGGAATGGGCCTGACCTTGTCCCTGTGTTGCTTCCTCTACATGATGGTTTCTGCTGTTGTGGTCGGTTTGGTGCCGTACCACGCGATGGATCCGGACACCCCTATTTCTTCTGCGTTTGCGCGATATGGGATGCAGTGGGCCGAGTAAGTTCCAGGTTACCTTCCAGCTGAAATGCTGAATGATCCAGCTGCGATGGAGGTTATTTGCGCATCTTGTGTATTATGTCAGTTATTGAGCAATTTTTACTCCTCTGAATTGTAGGTATGTTGTTTTCCAGTGGAGCTGTTCTTGCTCTTGTGGCATCCTTGATAGGCGGTATTCTTCCCCAGGTATACTTATGAACCAAAGCATTGTCGATGTCGAGTTCCCCGTTTCATTTCACTTACTTTCCTGTTTCTATTAGGACTGAGTAAAAGAAATGCAAAAACTACTGTTTTGAAATGTGCTGGAGTTAAATGAAATATGTGAGATCGTCAATGATTTTCTAGAAAATTAAACAAAAGAGGAGCGACTCAAAGGCCAGAGCTGACACCAAGCCTGGAGGTCAACACATACCATAGCTGATGGCAGGAAATGTTACAACTGTGGGCAGAGAGGACACTTGAGCTACAGCTGTCCTTTCACAGAGAATTGTGGTGGCCACAGTGGAGCTTTCAGAGGTTCTGATGGTGGTGGCTATGGAGGATACCATGGTGTCCATGGCCATGGAGGAGACTATAGAAGCTGCAGTGGAGGCCAAGGTAGTTCCAGGACCAATGTGGCATGATGAGAAGGGCTTGGTGGCAGAACTTGTGTTCAGAAATGACATGTGGTGTTACATGACAAAAACAAATCAGCAGTCACCATCGCAAGCAATCTTATGCAACATGATCTCACCAAACACATTGAAATTGATCTGTTCACCATAAGGTAGATAGCGTGGCATCAAGACTAGAAAATATAGTCTAGTAACAATAGCCGAAAAAATGGTGGTGAATCAATATGTAACAAGGCATGCATGATTAATATATTTGCCTATCTTGAGGGTATGTTTTGATGTAATATGTAAAAGTATTAGGTACTTCCCGACGAATTCAGTTAACTACAGAGTGGAATGGTGAGAGAAGCTTACCCACAAGTTTTCCCAAACAAACTAACATAAACAAAGTAATCATTAGGTTTATTTAAAGTAGAAATGTAGCATGGTCGTCGTATATTCCATTTGAGGAAGAATCGTTTATCCAAAGTTAAACCTTGAATGGCTGACTCATAATTGTTTACATGTTGCTTTTGGTCAGCCAATTGGCAGGGATGGTAATAAGCTAATTATCATATAAAAATGGTAGCAATGCTGGATACAGAGGTACTCCAGATGATAACAGTTTCTTGATCTTTTTGTTCAGGTAAGCGTGGGAACCTTATTGGCATTTACTACGGTTGCCAATTCTGTTTTAGTAGTAAGATATGCTCCTCCGTATGAGATGCCAATGGAAGTGGCTCTTGCAGGATCATCTGAGTCACTAGCTTCATTCTCTGGGCACTTAGAGCATGAGCAAAATTCAGAAGATCCTTTTGGCAATGGTAATGAGAATAATTTTTTGTGAACTGTTAAGTTCAAGTTATAGCAGGAACTATGTTTGCCTTTTCTTAGCAAGTAACTTGCATTCACACTGTAATAAGGTGCTGGCTGAACTTTATATGTTAGCAAGTTATCTGCACCAGCAAGGCAGCAACGTTAGAAACGTGTTAGCAACTTGCATTCTTCTTCTTTGACAATGAAGCTGGCTGACACATTAGCAGCGCTTCCTTGATATATTCATTTTATTATTATTTGTAATTTGCATATGAATTGCTTGCAAGTATCTGCACCAGCAGCCCATTATTTCAGATATCATATTACGACATTTCTAGCTTTACCCTCATGATTACTGAGATGCTCGAATTCGTTTTCTGACTTTTTTCCCCCTTTGTATCTGGAATTAGTTCAAGAAGCACTTACTGTCATTGAGGTAGCCAGCAAAGTAAGGCGACAGAAAGCCATTGGAAGCATAGTATTGATATGCGTCGGAGCCATCTTTGATTTCTGCGGTTTCTGTCTCCTTTTTACCATCGTAAGTGATAAAGGTCTCCACCTCCTGTATCCCTGCAGGCACTCTTTCAAATATCTACAATGCACAACACAGCAATTGAACACTGTTCCTTGAATACCGTGACCAGAATTGCATTTTATTATTATTAGGGATTATTATTATTTTCTTTTGCCAGGAAAAAGGCAACTTCATCTGATCATGTTTTGCTTTCTATAGTTATGTGCAAACGATTGCATGCACTGTAGGTGGACTGGTAGTGTTGAGTTCTTCTATTATGCTTTTGTGCATTGGACAAGAAGAGATTTTTGGGACAAACTGGAGGTACAAGCCAAGGAACATGGACATTTAGGATTTCTGTAAAGTTGATGAACTCTGAGTGAAAAATATGGTTTTGCAATTCAATGCAATCTCAAATTAGCTCTATCTCTCCTAGGTTTCATGTGCCCGTTGGTCCCATTGCTTCCAATTTGTTGCATCATCGTCAATTTATACCTGCTTATGAACCTCGGGTAAGAAATATAGCTTACAGCCATCTTTTCTTCTGTTCATCCTTTATGCAAAATATAGCTTACATTCATTTTTTTGCACAGCCTGCTGTTGTCTGCAAGGTGTGCAAATTTCATAAGACTGTTTGTTTGATCAGCGTTTTATGAAGCCAAAGAAAATCTAACTATTTAGTTTACAATATATTGAGATGTCAGAATCTCTAGATAGCGATCTATGCTTTGTGGGAATCCTGAAGATCATCTTGACCTTAAGTTTCAACTCAAATGATTGCAGGAGTCACTGTTCACTTCTCTTGTAATCCATATTTTTCAGCTTGTTTTTTCAGTCGGAATCACCAAATCAACCGGAACAGTGTTTCGCCTTGTTTTTTTAGCGAAGCGAATGGGACCCTCGTGTTTCCATATGGCTGGTGGCTGGGGCCCTCATATACTTCTTCTATGGCCTGAAGCATAGTTCACTGGCAAGCATGGCCTACCATCGCATATCACCATTGTAGTTCAACGTTGGGTAGAGTTCTTTTGCTTTTTCTCATGGCGGCTACAGCAGCTATTTCTCAAAGATGTCTGGGGGTTTCTGATCCCTGCAATTTTGGAGGAGGACCAGGAGAATGAACAGATAGGCACATGTACGAAAGAAGTACAGAAGTGTCCAGTCTCGTATGAGCTTGTTTCTTTCTCTGGCAATTGCACAAACTACTGGAACAGTTACCTCTGTAAGTTTCTGATGTTTTTTTCCAGCCCTAGTTGGCTTGGTCGTCAATGCCGCTTTTCTCCATACGATGGTTCCGATATCACAGAGCGTCATATTGCCATGTACAGCAACAGCAAGGGTGTGCCCCTTTGTGAAATTCAGTATTGACATGGTCTTTATATGCCCCAGTACTTTATTCATGCATCCGTATCGTGTAGCATATTTTTTTTCGAAAAAAAACTATTTAGATAATAACAATCACCATATAAATAAAAACAGTAAATAAAATACAAAAAAGATTCAATTCAATTCAATTCAATTTAAAAACCAGGAAATGCAGCAGCACCCGTTTTATTAGGAGACTTTCGACCGTGTGCTACTAGTGGGCCTAACTAATAACTAGAGAAGGTGGCAACGCCAGCTGGGCAGCCCATTAACATAGCACTTGACCGACGCAGCAGTCTCACGCTCGCAATCGCAACCCGCAAGCACCATGCAGCGCGTTCAGCTTCATCCGTTTAGTCCCACCTCGCCCAGCCAAGCAGCACGGAGGCGCGGACTCAGCTATACAAGGACACCCAGGGCAACTGTCCAAAGTATACCTTTCTCGGACTTTTGGCTAAGATCAAGTGTAGTATCTGTTCTTATTAGTTTAATATCTGATATGTGGATGAATCTTTTGAGCTTTGGTCCATGTGTATTTCTGCCAAATAAGACACTTTGATAATAAATTTATCTGTTTTTTTAGTTTAATATCTGAGGGTCCACCACAATGGCAGTGGCTTGCCAGTGGGGCCCTCGTGCGTCGCCCAGCTGTTGCACTGTTGGCAGGGCCTGGCGTACCCCGACCAATTCGAAGTTAAAAATTTTTTATTACAAAAGCTGGTTGCTAGTTAAATTTGATTTACAGAGCTGGTTTGTTTAATTAAGCTTTATTTATAGTTATGTGTTTAAAAAATAAAATTTAAAATTTAGTTGTAAGAGGTGGTTAGTTCTAAGACATTTTGAAACATTAAACTTTAGTTAGCAGAGGTGGTTAGTTCTAAGATGAACTTTGTTTATCAGATCAGGTTTGCCTCACCTATATAACTTTTGGTTAACAGAGGCGGTTAGCATGTGTCACTGAGGAAATTGTGCATGGTAGTTCCCCTCGGCCCATAGTCACTGGAGAAGGAGGGCGAAATGGGCCGGATCGAAAGAAGTTGGGCTGGCCTGCTCCCAAGTGGCCCTCCCTCTTCTTCTTATCCCCTCTTTGCTTATCCAAGGAACCCACTCCATTCCGTCCGTCCGTCCATCCGCCATGGCGATCGCCACGCTGCTGAGCTCCTCCTTCGCCATGCCCGCCGCCGCCCGTAGGGCCTCCTCCGCCTCCTTGGGCTTCGCCACGTCGCAGCTCGCCGGCCTCTCCCTCTCCCTCTCCGCCGGCGCTGCAACTCCAACCGCCGTCGCCCTCCTCCCCAAGAGGCAGCAGCTCCAGCCCATCGTCGCGCGTAAGTCTTCGATTTCGATTTCCTTTGCTGTTGTTTCCTTGTTCGTTTGCCTCCCTTGCTGTACGAACGAGCCGTCAGCTTTTGTGGTTGCTCCGGTCTTATCTGAATCTTCAGCCGTCTTGGCTGTTCCATTCTTCTCCGCCTCTGCTAGTAATTGATTCAGCTAATCTTCAGAAGTTCAGAGCATTCTTTTAAGATAAATTGGCATCTGATTGATTGACGAGATGATGAAATGTGCTGTGTGTGTTCAGGGCGTGTGTGCCCGTTCACGGACAAGAAGACGAACCGGGCCAACAAGGTGTCCTTCTCCAACCACAAGACGAAGAAGCAGCAGTTCGTGAACCTGCAGTACAAGAAGCTGTGGTGGGAGGCCGGCAAGCGCTTCGTCAAGCTGCGCCTCTCCACCAAGGCCCTCAAGACCATCGAGAAGCACGGTCTCGACGCCGTCGCGCGCAAGGCCGGCATCGACCTCAACAAGAAGTGAGAGCAGCCAAAACTAGTGGTGTGGCACTAGCTTAGCATTCACATTCATGGGGTCGTCTCGTCTGCCTGCTTCCTGCTGTTCTTTCCCAATCATATTGTATTTCCTTTACTTTCATCCCCAATTTGTTTTGTGTACCGTATTGGCGGATCGAGGTTGCACATATATGTTTTTGGTCTCGTGGTGGGAGCTAAGGTTTCCTCCCCTGAATCAATCACAGAAAGTTAAGTAACCTGGAATCTCACTCAAATTCACTGCCGATGAAGTAGAAATGAAATTGAAATTTGAATGAATTGTTGTGCATCCTGCTTCCGTCCCAAGAGAGGAGATTGTGTTCTGGCACATGCTTGCAGTCTGCACCTTACCTTCCATAGTTCCATTCCATCCCACCATGCATCATATTCCTGCTGGGATGATGGCTACCTCTGCAAGCAGCAAAAGAGGATGCATGCAATGTAGCCAGGATTAGTTGAGGTGGAGGAGAGATTTTGTGGGTGGCCCATATCTAATGGCGGCATCGCAGTCAGTACCCTTTTGTATCCTCTCCTTGCGGTCTTCATCGATCAAGTGTAAGGAAGGGAATGTTTGCTGTTCCTGGCAAAAAAAAGTTTTCTCGAACATGCAGGAAAACTGCGCGTCAATTCAAATACTGGAACGACTGAATAATACCAGAAGAAAACAGGTCCAATTCTTCAATTTAATCAGTAGCCTCCCCCTAAAGTGGAGTATGACTGGATCACTGGAGTGGACAGTAATAAGATGCATGGAAAGTTGTTTTAGTTCTTTTAAAAGGTTTTATTTGTGTTTTCATAATTTGGTCATATGCCTCTCTGCCTCTGGCCAACTACCTTGGCAATCCTTACACGCATATGGTCCATCGGATTTTTTTTTGGTTGTATATAAACAAATGGCACTCCTCTCATGGTGGCTACAGCATCTGTTCATGGATGGTTAGGGCTTTCTGATTCCAACAGATTTGCACAAGGAACGGAGGCGCCTGTACTATGAAGATCTGAGGAGTGAGGATAGGCAGACACATTTGTAAACACAACCACCCACTGTATAACGGGTTGTCACTGCACACTTGTGATTCTGTGGACTGTGGTGCCAGAAGAAAATCACACTGTCACAGGACGGAAAAGGCTGAAGGCAGTAACCGCGACGATTCTTTCCCCCGATGCCCCTCAAGTTCCGACGCGCGTTACGGTTCCCTCTCGCGACTCCGCCCGTCCGCCGCCGCCCTCTCGCTCCTCCGCCAGGCCGCGTCCTGCCCCTTGGTCAGTTCGTCGTGCAAACTACGAAGTGGAGGAACCGCACCGCACGCCAGTGTCGTGCATTCTTACGGCAGCAACCTTTTCAAAGTTCCTTGCCACACGGCATTTGGTGGGCTTTCGATCTATTGCTTCTGATTTCCACTCCCATTTGTCTTAAGGAAGAGGAAGATGGATAAAACAACCAAGTCGATATCCTCGTCTTGCAACAACGACGATGGAGTAGTACCAGAAGAAACAGGGATGGACAAAGTATTGTCTGATCTACATGCGCTCAAGAAGCTATACAGGCTGCTTCAAAGGTTAGATGAGACGTCCAAGGCCCTTATGAACAAGTTGCTTGATGATGCTCTCCTGAGGCAGGCAAAGGCTCTTACTACCGCTTCTGATTCGGTGATTACGTTTTCTCTTGGTTTGACGTCTCCAAAGAAAACAGATCAAGCAAGTTCATCATTTCTTAACAACAAAGGAGCAGAGATGGAACAAATTTTGTCTGATCTGGAGGCGCTTACGAGCCTATACAGGCTGCTTCACAAGGGTCCGGCTCCGGCAGATGAAAATTTAGATGAGGCATCCAGGGCTCTTCTGATGAAGATACTAGAAGATGCTACCCAGGAGGCTGTCCGGAGGCAGGCAAAGATGCTATCAGGCTCTCTAGTGTCCCCTGCGCTAGAGAGAGAGAGAGAGAGAGAGTTGTCCACGCAATCAGACTGCCGGACACGGCATGCCGATCCGCGCCCGAGGCCAGTGGCCTCACCCAGACCAAGCCTCCTGGCCAGTGAGCCATCGCGCCGGCTAAACCTGCAACATTCTACAGTATCACGCCGATCCGGCCTGCACGTCGACGCCCATCACCATGCACCGGAAGAGCCTCTCCTTGCTCGCCTCGCTACCAACCGCTCGTCGAGAACCGCCTTGCCGGCACGACACCGTCCAAGCCAAGAGCAGTTGCACTCCAGCCTCAGCCTCCACCGTTTCCCTGTAGCTGGAACGTCGAGACATGGCACGGTGGCCGGAGGTAGTACTCGGCTTGCCGATCGCCGCCGGGACAGCATCCGTCGCAGCTCCGTCCGTGGTGACCGGTGTTCGCTGGAACGCAGCAGCAGCAGCAGCAGCTGGCGTTCCGTGTCTCTGGGGCCGTCGTCAAGGCTGCATGGCCGTGCTACCCCGCGGCACGTGGGAGCGGAGAGCTCCTCCTCGGTGCGTCTCTTCGAGAGGTTGGACTCTGGGTTGTCCCTGAGCATGACGTCGCGTCCTGGCGTGGAGCGTGGACCAAGCAGCACTCTTCTCACGGAGCGCTCCCTACGACGCCGATTTGCAGTAGAAGGGAAGACATCGCGCGGGAGGCAACAAGGCAGCGACGTTTCCAGCGCGGACATGTACAGCAGCAGCATGTCCAGCGGCAGCAGAAGCTCATCGGGCGCCGCCAGCCTGTCTGCCTCCACGAGCTTGACGGCGTCTCCAGCGCCGCGTGCTTTTGCTAGTCCCTACTACTACTCGCCGCCGGTGACGGCGCCACGGGGCATTGCGCCGCCGGTGTGCGCACCTCAGGTGTCGCGCTCAATGAGGAGGCGACGTCGCCAGGAAATCCTCGAGAAGCGGGTGGCGCGGCTGCGGATGCTCAAGGACAAAATCGCCACGGTCTTCCATCACCGCCACGACCATCACCACCACCACCACCACCTCGGGGGCGGCCAGGAGGCCGGCCCCTCGTCCAGGAGCGTCGTCCGCGGCGCGGGCCACCTCAACTCGCCGTGGCAGTACCTTACGAGCATGTTCCACCGCGCGAAAGGGAAAGACAAGAACACTAGGGGCCGGACGGTGGTAGGCGTGCCGGAGAAGAGGCGCGGCGGTGGCGGGAACATGCACGCGCTATTCGATGCGGTGCGGCGGCAGTTGAAGGGCAAGCGGAGGGCACCGGCAGGCATAAAATATATGTAGCTCTGAGGAGGGCAAACTGAGGAGGAAGGCCAGCCGGGTGCGGGCCAACAAGATGCATTGGTGCATGGCAGCGGCTGAGGCATGGCAGGGGTGACGGTGGGCAGTAGACCACGGCGCCGTTTAGGACATGGAAAGGCAGGGTGGCTGTAGTAGGTCTTGTTACTTACTTATTGCCACCCCACATTCACTTCCGGTAGTTTCATGCGCTCACAACAGTTTGTGAGAGCACCGACGCCAAAAGTTTGTTGTGAGTTCCGAATAATCCCATTTTTGAGATGTAGCCTGTGGGTGTTTCACTGTTAATAAGTATATGCAGCTCTGATATACCCTCTTCGCTCTAAAATAAACAACTTTCTGTAAATTTTCAAATAGATTAAAGACACTGGCAAAATACGACAGTTATTATTTGTATGCGGCATGATTAGCTTCCGCATTAGAAGACACTCTTATAACGCCACAGCGACGTTCCTTCGCGGAAGTTGTGCGTGAGGGCAAGACCATGGCGGAGCAAGCAGGCAATGGAGGAGGGTTTGGAGAGCGAGGAGGAGGCAGAGGTGCGGGATTTAACCCCGGTTTCAACCCGGGATTTAATCCAGGGTTCGGGGGAAGTGGTCGTGGACACAGTTTCCACCCGCATGGTCGAGGTCGTGGTCACGGCGCATATGGAGGTGGGCATGGAGGGTATGGCGGCTATGGCAACGGATATGGCCATCATGGACAAAGACGTCGGCCTTACTTTGGTGGAGGCGGATCTGGCGGTGGGCGCCGCCCTTGGTCCGGCAGGGCATTCCAATCATCTGCCTATGGGGCTGTTCAATTATGGTGGCGCCAACCCTAACCAAAGAACAGCAGGCGGCGGGGGGCAACCTCTCGGGAAGAACCTCTTGGGGCACCTTCTTCTCGAACGCTGGGCCCCTCAATGGTGAACGTGGGGGCTCCATCCCGTCCATGGGGAGGGTCCCAGCAATGGGGTGGGTGGGGGGTTCATTCCCTCAATACCGCAAACGAGGGGGGGCTCACACCCGCTTGGTTCCGGCTCAAGGGGGGCACCCCGAGTCTGCTGCACCATGGGGGCAGTGGGGGGGGTGGTCATTCCCCCGGCTTCGCAAGCTGCAGCCACATGCGACAAAGGAGGTCAGAAAGGCATTGTCCCACCGAATGCAAATGCTTCTAAAGTAAATGTCGAGGTACCGGAGTCATAAAAAATGTAGGGAAAAAGAAGGGTACACCGCTTTGTTTGTTATCATTGCCACACTAAAGGTCATACCATTCATGAGTGCACTACGCTTTTATGTTGCAATATATGTTATGGTGACCATGTTACTAAGTTGTGCCCAAATATAAAGAAAATGAACGCAACAACTATCCCTTGTGGCTATGTCAGAAGGTCCGGGGTTCTATTTTATACCGGTCAATGAAAATCCTAAGGTCATTGTAGAGGAAAAGTGTAACATCCCGCCAAAGGCATGATACTCATACCAATAAGTTGCAACTTCTTTTATGCTTCTCTGCAAATAACTCCGAATTAAGCGTGCTTAGCTTTGAGGCGATGGGTGACCGACCGGAAGTTCTTCCCGGTGTGCATGTAGGGACAAAAGAAAAGAGAATGTATTGGTCTCCGTGAGGGCGATCTATGTCCTAGTTTTTGCCAGATTATCGGGCCCGCCACAGAGGTGGGGCGTTAAGGTCATACCATTCATGAGTGCACTTCTTGCAGCTTTTATGTTGCCGGCGTATGTTATGGTGACCATGTTGCTCGACACACCTGACGTGGTGCCGCAATTGATCGATAAGGAGTCCGATCTCTTAAGGGGTGAGGATGTAACACCCTAGGCTTAACAGATTAATAGGATACCATACCAATAAGTTGGCTCTACAAATAACTCCAAGGTTAAGCGTGCTTGGCACCGGGGTTCTAAGTTCTTCCCCATACCAGTGAGGACAAAGTGAAAAGACCCTGAGGTCATATCCTAGAGAAAAGTCTTCTACCTCTCGAGGAGGCGGGACGTTAAAAAAAGTCTTCTACTGTGTGTGTTGGAAGGTTCAATTCTCACGAAATATTGTTAGCAAAGTGGAACTAGAAAATCTACTACCTGGCAAGACCAAGTGGGTGATTGAGGAGAAAGGCAAGGATGCCTTCACCACTAATTTTCCTTCCTCTGACCTTTTGGACACTATGGTTTACTGGGGCCCTATGGTTACAAAAACTGTGAAAGGCAAAATTCAATTTGAAAAGAGCATGGAGGAGGATGTTTACAAGTATGAGATTGAGAAGGTCTGGGTGCAGTTTAGGGGGCTACCTAAGGAATTTAGGGAATTCCCCATTATCTGGGCAATTGCCTCTATCCTAGGTGTCCCAAGAGCTGTGGATACTAAATTCATGAAGAAATTTGGAAGAGCAAGAATGAAAGTAGCGGTGCTGGATTCCAACCTCATCCCAGTCTTTGTGGATGTGGTCATTGGGGACTATGTTTACCAGCTACACTTTGGGGTGGAGTAGGGTATGCCTGATGGTGAGCCAGAGCTAATTGATCTAGACTCTACCATGGAGGATGATGACCCTAAAGGGAAAAAACCAAATAAGGACAAAACTAATGGGAAAATGGATATTGATGGAGGTAAAGAGGGGGATCATGTACCTAACAATGATGCTGGTAATCAGCTACCAGCCGCTGGTGCTGTTGCTGATGCTACACAGCAACAAGCAAAAGGGGCTGATCCAATGCCCTCTCAGGGAAAGCCAGTGAAAGATCCTAACAGACTAGTGATTGTCCTTTCTCAGAATGTGAATGCAAATGGGGATGATCAGTGGAAGGCTAAATTGATGCCCCCTCAAACAGACTCCAGGAACCTCAATAATTTGAAAGCACATAAGGGTGGGACAGTGTCTCCTTCGAGATCAAGCAAGAGGACTGCAGCAACTGCGGATCAGGATTCCGTGGACAAGGCAACAAAGCTGAAGGCTAAAAGGAACATGGATACTACACCAGACAAAGGTACTCTTTAGGGGAACGCACTGGCTTCGACAGTGGGCAAGATTGCAGCGGCATGATGATCAGCGGGATCAGCTGATCCTAGTTGGACAGCACCTAGAATCGTCAGCTTCGTAGTTTTTTAGTTCAAATGAATGGTTATCTACAAGACGTCTTGGTTATGTTTAGTCTAAACTTTATTTTGTTTCGGTTACCAGTGTGGCTGGCGGCAAAGGTGTTGTTTTTGAAGTCTGTGTGTGTGCTTTTGGGCGAGACGTTGTAATAATTGGCCTGATTCTATCAGTTGATAGATGAAGCCGGGCATAAACTATCCATTATCTAAAAAAATAAAATCTTGATTTTTTTAGAACAAATTTTAATCCTCAAAAAAAGATGGAGGAGGGGCCGTGGAGTACTAGCGCTGGACTGGGCTCCCTCCACCGCAGCGCAACGACTTCGACGTCCATCTGGTAACAACGATTGTCTCGATTGAAAGCTTGGCCTATTCCTTTTGCTGCAATGAAAAAGATGGGCCAGGACGTCCAATCTCCGCGAGAAAGCGATTGTTTTCACTCGTTGGCTTTTGCTGTTTGTCACCGACAAGTTTCTTTTTCCTTCCCCAGAAATACATCGCTGGTGTGATCTGTGATATGCTTGTCCTCAATTGGTGTCGTTGCCCTGCCGATGGTAAAGGAAATGAAGCCCATGCCATGTTTTATACCATCTCCACACCTTTTTCGCCATTTGGATGCCATGTTCACTCAGGTAGACCATATATAACTAATCAGGCGAAGGCCATAATAATCTGCATAAAGCCCCTTCCATTCCATTACTGTTCTGTGTATGAGATGATCAGTAGGAGTATCTCCCTAATTCTCATTCAGACTTGTGTCAATTTATGAACCAAAATTGGCTTGGACCGCTTGATGCGTTTCAGATCTTTTCTATACATACATACGAAATGGGTCAACGGCATGTAACTTGTTTGATCAGAAGAACTAGTGAAGTGTAGAGTGCAATGTTGTAGTGTAACCCAATGCAAATGCAATGCATTTCACCTACACTGCTGCCTCCTGAAATTCCTTGGCGACATCATCTTGCCGAGCATCGCCTTGAGCCTCCTAGATCCGGCGCCGGGCCTGATGGCCCCGCGCCTGCTGGGCTCCTCCTGCGGGTTGGAGCAGAGCGCGACGCCGCCGCCCTCGCCCTCGCCCTCGCCGGAGCACCACCCGCCGTAGGCGAAGTGCCCGGGCTCCCGTCGTCGCAGGATGTCCCTGTCGATCCGGTCCAGCACCGGGTCGCCCTCCCTGAACTTGCGCGCGAAGGCGGCCCCGCTGAGGAGCATCCGGCGGTAGTCCCTGGCGGTGAGGTACAGCGGGTGCTGCTTGGGCGGGGTGTCCCACCGGATGTAGTGCAGGTCGTGGTTCACCGTGGCGTTGCGGAACCGCCGCGAGTTGCACGCCACCGTCTGGAAGTAGAACTCCGGCGACGAGATGATGTTGGCGTGGTACAGCAGCAGCGTCCGCGGCAGGTTGTCCCACCCCATCGTCACGTACTCCGCGAACGACCGCGACAGCATCGTCCACGCCGACCCTGCATTTGGCATTTGGGCAAGATGGGATGTCGGTGTTCGTTGCTTTGCTGCCGTTTCTTGGAAGCAAGAAGACATTGTTTAGTAGAAAAAGGAAAATCAAGGACGAATGCATGCATCTTTCGCTTTGCCATTGCCAATGCAATGGTCTCTGGCTGGCTGGATTCGCGAGCTCCAAAGCATAAACAAGCGTGGATCACTGCTGGTTCAGATCTGAGGGAATAATCAACTGCGCTGCGATGAAGATGGATCCGTACGCGAACTGCGCTAGTACCTCACCTGCTCCATTGACTAGACGCCATTCCAGATAAGATTGTTTTTGGGCCGGACCGGAATTCGTTGATCACGGGCTCACGCCCACACCCGTGACTCGATCAAAATCGAAGGACAGCCAAGTTTGAGAGCAACCACTGGCATTGGCATGGCATCATACTACG